AATTGCTGTCAATAGAGGATGATAATAAATAATTTAAAATATATGGTTACAATAGATATTAATATAATGATATAGTAAAAATTAACTTACAAATTTCTTTAGAAGTTTTCATGCATTGATAAAATTTTGATGTGTAAACTTGTTCAATTGGAGCTAGTAGGATGTTAACATTGTCAATTATTTGGAAAATGATCCTACCGTTTTAGAGTCCATGTGTAATTGTATTTATGATCAACAACTTTGTAGTTAGGTCGCGCAGGTTTGACAATGATGTAAGAACAATTTTGTCTGATAAAAAAATAATAGTATAATATTTGTAAAGTAATGTACAATTGTACCATTATAAAAAAATACAAAAAATATTAATACCATAATGGCCTAAATCATTCCAATAATGCAAAAGCATAATTGAAATATTAAGTTTTGTTCTAATTAATCAGAAGAATATTAATTAAACAAAAAAAAAAAAAAAAACTTAACCTACATTTCTTTTTTTTTTCTTAAATAAAAAATTCAAGAAAATCAAATGATGTTAAAGTAGTTCCTGATTTGTAATCTTTGATGCTCAACTTTGAATGCTATGTATTTAGTCGATCTAATTATTTGACCAAAGTTTATGTTAAATTATATATATATATATATATATATATATATATATATATATATATATATATATATATATATATATATATATATATATATATATATATATTTAATACATTTTAAGATATTCATAATATATGTTTAACAATTATGCCAACTATACTTGGGATGAGGTTCGAACCTAAGACCTTATATAAATTAAGAGTATGTTAAGAATAATAAATAGTTAACGGAATATTCCGTTACTAAAGTTTAAACTAACGGAATTTAAGGTTATTTAAGGGAAGAAAATAATATAATAGAGGGTAAATAAGGAAAATCATTAAAAGATACTAAAATCAAAATAATATGAACATTCATTTTAAGAAACAATTAGTACCGACATTTTTTTTGTTCCAGTTAAGTGCCTAACATTATTCGCTCTTATTAAATTTGTAGACAATTAAGTGCCTAACATTATTCGCTCTTATTAAATTTGTAGATATTACTGATCATAATGGAATTCAAACAAACAAAGGTGAAGAAAATTGTGATTTTTTTTGTTCACATACTATGCACATATTTTTGGGACGGTGATCATTCATAATCTAGACAGTTGTATGTCTGCGTGTATATATGTATATATTATATATATTCCACAATTGGGGATTCCTTAGACCTAAATGAACCTCAAGCCAAGACGACCGGTCGGGAGGGTAAAAGTTATACCACACATATTTCTTTTCCGATAACCATCCCTAATCTACAACACATGGGTATATTGATTGAGTTTAAGTTATATTGACTATATTACTTTTAGTCAAGTTTTTTATATTTGGAGAATAACTTAATTATTAATCCAAGCAAGCATGGAGCCATGCATGCATCTTCAAATCGGAATCCCAACGCCAAGTAGGATGTGAAAGCTATTTATTCCGCGGTTCCGCCATAGTGAATGGATGTTGAATACTTGAATCAATATTAGTCATCTGTGTTGATCTATCAATCAGTTTGAATGGTTATTTTGGCAAAGTATGCCCTGGACACGGGTCCAAAACGACGTCGTTTTTCAAAAAAAAAAAAAAACGCGTCATTTAGTTTAAAAAAAAAAAAAATCGCGCGCGTTTTGCCGTTAACGGCGTTATTATTTTTTTTTTTTGAATTATGAATGTACAGTTATGCTGTTATGAATGTACAATTATGCCGTTATGAATGTACACTTATGCAATTATGAAATTATGAACACAGAGCTCTAACATTATGAACATATATAGTGATAAAATTATGACCATGGAGCTTTAAAATTGTGAATATAGAGCTTCGAAGATTATGAATGTACAATTATGGAGTTATGAATGCACAGTTATAGAGTTATGAATCTACAATTATGGAGTTATGAATCTACAGTTATGAGATTATGAATCTACAGTTATGGAATTATGAATGTACAGTTATTGATCGAATTATGAACAAAGAGCTCTAACATTATGAACTTACAATTATGAACATATAGTGATAAAATTATGAACATAGAGCTCTAAAATTGTGAACATAGAGCTTCGAAAATTATGAATGTACAATTATGGAGTTATGAATGTACAGTTATGGAGTTATGAATGTACAGTTATGGAGTTATGAATGTACATTTATAGAGTTATGAACGTACAGTTATGAAGTTATGAATGTACAGTTATTAACATATAGTAATAAAATTATGAACATATACTTCTATAACGAAGCGGTCTGAATTTTTTTTAAAAAAAGGAGATAATAGCGCCTAAGGGCACTGTTACCTGTGTCCAGCAAGCATGCCGGACACGGGTCCAACTCATAACGATTGGGTTATTTTATGTCCACACTGCCCCTAAAGTCTATGGTGGAATTTTTACAGATAAGTTGGGCAGCCCATATGAAAAGCCCAACGGCCCCAACCCGTGGGAGACTTTGACAAAATAATATCGTTCCAATTATTATATCATGGACTAGAGTCCACAGTACACTGTAGACCATAATTTAATATACATAATTTGACTTCATAATGTACATAATTCATGTTTAGGATATACATAATTTATATTCATAATACACATACACATAAACATATAATAACATGAATTATGTGTTGAAAAAATAGCATTAAAATGGCATTTTAAGTGGTTATTTTGTGATACAATTATCAGTGGGGTCCACTTCCGATTTGGGTCGAGTCAAAGTGGATTCGGGTTCTTCGTAGTTAGACGAAGAGATTGATATATCGTACACAGAAAACGGATAATGGGTGAATGAGATATTGATTCTCAAAGTAGACCCATTTGAGTTTGGAAAATGAAGGGAAAAAGTGAGTTTTTGTCTCACATTGATTTGGGAAGAGGATTTGTCCCACTTTTTATACATGAGCTCTTGTTAAACTTATTGAATTGTATAGCATAGAGGTTTTCTCTCACGTGCATGGGGAGTGCAAATCAAATCCCAAAACTTTGATATTCATTTTCTGACAAAGTCACGAAATTTCGTGATGATTATTGTGAGTTATTGAAACTGCAAGCAGGCCAAATGTGCAAATGAATTGCAACTTAGGTGGCCGAAATTCTGCACAGTATACACTTTGATACCAAATGTGCAAATGAATTGCAATTGCAATTGCAAATTTCGGCCAAGCAACTTAGGTGGCCGAAATTCTGCACAGTATACACTTTGATATTCATTTTCTGACAAAGCCACAAAATTTCGTGATGATTATTGTGAGTTATTGAAATTGCAAGCAGGCCAAATGTGCAAATGAATTGCAATTGCAATTGCAAATTTCGGCCAAGCAACTTAGGTGGCCGAAATTCTGCACAGTATACACGAACCAGAAAGCTCCTGTTTGTGACTGTTGGGATTTAATTCAGCTGTTATGGGATTAATTCTTTGAATTAATTCCAATTTTAATTTTTGAATTAACACCCCATGTTAATGGTTGCTGTTACAGAAGTTGTAGGGATGTCCCTAAATGCCATAATAAAGGCTATTCACTCCTCAATCCCTATATAAGAAGGGGTAGAGGGAGCAGATTTTCTAAGCACACAGTGACAAGAACACAACACAGAAAGTGGTTTCTCGCCTCAAAACTCTGCTTCTATTCCTTTCTTTGCCTAAACTGTGTTCATAGCTTTGCTCTAGTTCGCCGGGTCCGTTCGTTTGGGTGCTCAAACGTCGAACTGTAGCGCGTTTTATCCTGAGAAACCTAGGCCACAGCGCTCCTAGCACTTTTGGGAGGTGGCAAATAAGGTTTTAAGGAAAGAGTGGTCTCTTGACTCACGCTAAAAACCCTTACCCAGACACGAGCCAATCTTTCCTTCTTTCGGTTTTGGATTATGCTTCTAAGCAAAAATCCTCCTTTTATGTTATAGTTTGGTTGGAATTATAATCTGTGTATTATAAATTCCATTTGGTTGATATGCATATATCTTTTCCGTAGATACTCATGCATATAACCATGGTGGTCTGATTTATATATATATATATATATATATATATATATATATATATATATATATATATATATATATATATATATATATATATATATTTCGGATATAATATATCGAATAATATTTTATATACTTCGTGTGTGTATATATAAATATTATTTTACGATATTAAATCGATTTTTGGTTCATTATCACCAACATTATGTGCATTATGCATATGAATTATGTGTATTATTATATCGTATTTATGTATATTTATTATATCGTGTTTATGTGTATTATGAATATAAATTATGTACCTTATAAAAATGAATTCTATAAATTATGAAATCAAATTATGTGTATTGAACCAGAATCCACGATATAAATTGCCCAATCTTTCTGGACATGTGTCAACTGTCAAGTGATAACTTGGGTCAAGACGTTGTAGATCATGGTGTCAATACTACATAGTGAAATAGTGTCAAATCATATCATGCATAATCTATTATATTAGAAAATAAATGTTTAATCCACTCAACGACCCCTTTGTTCTATTATATGTTCATACTACATTTCTTTATTAATGTTTCTACTTGTACGTTAGAAAGTTTGCAAACTTCTATCAAAAGTACTATATTTTAGATAAAGCTCGCCGTGTGACTCTAACTTACGAGGTGTGCTTCAGATGAAGCCTGTCATATAACCTTAACTAACAAAAGATTATAAGGAAAAGGATTACAAGGAAATAAATCAATACCATATTTTTACTGACTCAAACAAAGAAAATTAATAGACAACTTATACAAAAAAAATCAAACTTAAAAACTTTATAATTATCAAATTAACTATCCAACTAACTTCGAGTTAATGTTATTCCCTACCTCTCTTGCTTCGATTTAATGTTATTTTGCTGTTTGGCTTTGAAAAAAAAAAAAAAAAAAAGCAACACCATTTGATACAAAATTTAAAACAAATTATACAAAACTAACAATATAATATTATCTCAAAAGTTGTATAGTAACATCATACAACATCCATAGTAACAACATAAACAGAGTTAATCGAAGCACAATAATGCAATAAGCAAATAACCTTAATTAAGAATTCAAATCAGAATGATATTATGAAGATTTAAGAATCCATGATCATCAAGAACTCTTTATCCTTCTCCAGCTTATCCATGGCGCCAGCCTCCAACGTGATCTCCACGTCAATGCTTCTCCCTCCATTTTTCCCTTGATACAAGTACAGCATCCCATCGAATCTATTGTTCGATCCGCTCCGAACACTCTCCGGCTTCCCGAAGCCGAAGTCAACCTCGTACACCTTAAACCGCGGCGAACTTCCGACGGCGACGCAGTTCATGCCGGCGTCCTTGAATTCGAAGATCTTAGGGTTGCTCTCCCACTCCTTGTTGCGTGCATCGATGGCCTTGGCGTCGTGGGAGTCGATGGCTTTCTGTATGAGCGCCGCCGCGAACTCCGGCGGGTTGGCGAGGAGTAGCCCGGCGGCGGTGACGGTGAAGATGGCCTGGATCAGGTTCCCGAAGTAGCTCTCCGGCATCGGGGGGTCCACGCGCTTCCGGCAGTCGGCGAACACCGTGAAGACGGTGTAGTCCTCGGGCTTGAGCTGGCGGGCGCGTGTGACCGCGTGCCATACGTGCGTGGAGAGCGACTGGAAGGTGGAGAACGGTTTGGAGCCGTCGGATGCGTTAGCGTTGACGTTAGCCTTGATCTTGTCGATTGCTGAGTCGGAGAACTTGAAGACTTTTTCCCGGAGCTGTGGGCCCGGTTTGGCATCTGTGGGGTCGCCGTTGACTGCTGACTTGGCGTGCTCCGGTGCGTCCGATGGCTTGGAGAGGTTGAGCTTCACTTTGGTGTTCCGAGATTTGGTGCGGTCGAGGAATGGTGGGACCGAGATGGAGTTGGCCCCACGACAAATCTCAGCCCACGAACTCATGAAGTGCCACGTGGACATCCCATCCAACACCGCATGATTAAATGCTAATCCAATTGCAACTCCATCTTTAAGTTTTGTGAGCTGTATACAGAAAATCAGCTCTATTTATTCGGTAACGAATTTAATATTTTCGGATACTTTTAATAGGAAATACCTAACAATTTAACGTTACAAACTTACAGCTTTAAAAAAAAAAGTTTTTTTTTTTTTTTTCCACATTTGATATTAGGACTATGGAATAATTTTCACATTTTGTCTCTAATTATCTAATTTTATTATTTGATCTCACGACTTTTAAATTGTTGACACATTTGATACTTTTAACTTAAATTTCAATCCCCAATTACTTATCTTAGCTTATAGGGTAAAATTGTTATTTTTAATTAATTTTTCTTAAACTTATCAAGAAGGAGACCAATAATTATAATCTTACCCTAAGTAACTTGCATGAAATTTTGTTAACAATAACCGAAAATTAAGTCGGTTAACCAAAATGATAATAATTTTGAAGTCATGGAATAAAAAAAAACTTTATACTTATAATAAATATCAATCATAATGAGACTCTTATTGATCAATAGTAAAAGTATTTGGATCGAAAACATTTTGACAAAATAATCAAATTTTAAATTTGAATTTATTACCAAATAAATACTAAACAATTGGATGCAGTTACACTTATGGTCCTTATATGGATGACCACGTTTTAGTTTAGATTTTCAATTTCATGTTCTAAGAAACAATAATATTGTGGAAAAGGTTAGGTTATAATTCTTTAGACTTATTTTTTTGGTTTAAACTTTTTATTTTTAAAATTATTTAAATTCAACTTTTAAAGAGTTTCTTAATTGTAAAACAATTTTTAAAATCATTCTTCCAAAAGATTGAACCCCAACCCTAAGGTCCCCACACCCGGACCCGATCACAATTTTTAAAATCATACATTTAGAATTATAGGTTAAACATAAACATAGTAATAACAGTTTTACAGTTTTACCTGCACAGAGAGGAGTGGGCGGTGAAGCCCCTCCAAGTTCAAGATTTGGGTGTAAGGGATGAGCTCCTTGAACACGGCGGTTCCTTCTTCATTAATGAGGTCAGCCACCGCCACCGCATCCGCCGCCGCCACCGCCACCTCGACGCCGTCCATGTCGTCGTCGTACTCCACTCTAAACACCCCGTCCTCATCTTTCCCCAGCTTCCCGGCCAGCTGGTAAAACTCCTCCAGCACAACCGCCAGCCCATCCTTCAGCTTCTCCACCGCCTCCTCAAACTCTCCGGCGCCGGCGCCGCCGTAAACCAGCAACTTCTGGTTGTAAAAGAAGGCCAAGTACGGCAGATCAAAGGTGACCAACTGGCACTCTTTTCTCCCCAGTGGCTTCCCGGGTTTCACGTTGCTTTTCCTCAACACTTTCACTCTCCTCTCTGCAGTAGTTTCCTCAGCTGGGGTTTCGCCCGCCATTGTTGCACTGGAAGCAAAAGCTCAGAGAAGAGTGAAAGAAGAGGTTTGAGGGTTGAAATTGGAATGGGAGAAAAGGCAGATCAGAGCTTTAATTACTTATAGAGAGTGGATGGTTTGGTTTTGATGCATTTATGCAAAATTTATATCGTCGGTAGGGGCCCAGTGAATACGGTGAGTAAAAGCAAGCTGTCGTCATTAGTATATTATCATACTATTATTTTGACTTACTAAGTACGATTACCAAAACATAATTTGTTTGTAACCATATTTGGATTGCAGAGCTTGATGTAGGTGTGAGTAGGTCAAGATATGTAATGTCCATTTATAATAATTCATTAATTTGACACAATGCCAATTAATTTTATTTTTTATTCAAAAAAATACAAATATAATAGTACTTAAGTGAGGGTCACACAAACCATTCGTGTGGTTTGTAAACTATTACACAGGAGTATGATTTACTTGTTGCACATCTTCAGATAGTGATTGCGGGTTTCTCTCGTCATCCAAATATATTAGTAATTGACGGTCACACAAACTGTTCATATCGTATGTGACTTTATATCTCTCGTGTGGTTTGCAAACTATTACATAGGAGTATGATTTACTCATTGCACATCTTTGGGTAGTGGTTGCGAGTTTCTCTTGTCATCCAAATATATTAGTAATTGACCATTGAATTATAGAGTTAAGTAATCCAACACGACAACTCCATCTGATGAGTTGGTTGAATAATTGATTTGATAACGATAAGATTATAATTTCAGCCCTATTGACCTTCTTCGTTTGAGCCACTTAACTATGGGCAACGTATCTTGATTTATCTCATTGTAGTTCTTAATTACCAACTAAGAACACAGGACGAATTTAATTTAGAGTGCATATTTGGCTATAGTAGTGGCCAGTGGGTAGGAATTTTCTTGTAAATCAAAATAACTCAATAGTTTGGAATAGTTTGTAACGGACTACTAATGTAATGTAATAATATTGAAGATAGAGATTTTTATGTAAAGTTAATTTTCTTGTAAATTAAAAAAACTCAATAGTTTGTAACGGACTACTAATGTAATGTAATAATATTGAAGATAGAGATTTTTATGTAAAGTTTTTTTTTTTTTTTTTTTTTTTTTTTTTTAGGATAATTAAAAACAATATTTTGTGGGCGCAACTAAAACTAATTTTTTTTTTTTTTAAAATATTACAAATTAAACCAGTGAGATAATATAAACTTGTGAAACTAAACCCGAATTAGTTACACGTCTTTTCAGCTAAGACATAAATGAGAGTCATGCGTTGTAAAGGAACATAGTACGAATTAATGAACCATAATTTCGATTATGTAAATACGTACTGTATTATAGAACATGCAAGAAAAAGCCATGTGATACATCGTTATAAAGCATGCATATATGGGGCCCTTCTTTTTCTCCCCAACTTCAAGGGTCCCCACATTTCGGCTCACTGTGCATAAAAGATCTACTCACTTTGAACATAATGCACACATTATTGTTGGCAAGGTTCGAACTTTAATTTCTTTTCCCAAACACTATATACTGAACCATTGAATTAAACTCGTGCGGACTGCATGGGGCCCTTCTTAATTATGCGGTTAGAAAATTAAATGAATAAGTAATATTATACATTTTTCCATAATTTCATCATGATCAAATATTCAATTTCTTACATAGTGCTGTAATATGTTATTATTGTATTAAATTAATAAGTAAATTTATTTTTAATGTAGGTGAAATCAATTAATTTATAATTTTTAATAATTAATGAATATAAAGTATTTTATTTTTATGTAAAAAAAAGGGGTTTTTTTTTTTTCTTAATTAATACACCAACGCCCAACTAATGCCTTCCAACTATCTATCATAATGCATGTCTTACTTGAACAAATTGTCGTCCACAAATGCATAATATTCATTGAAAATGATAGTAAGAACCCCTTACTTAAACAAGCCCAATTACGGACAGATGTTATTCAAATATTGTATTGAAATAAGTAACATTATACATATTTTTAATTTTTCTTTATTTTTAATCTTTGTTTACCTCATAAGTGGTAAACACATGACGTATGATGAGAGTTTTATTTTGAATAGTTCAGATAGAGCAATCTCAATTTTCAATAAGATTTTCTGTGAGTTTTTCCAACATTTTAACATAAGAGTTTTTTGTAAAACCCATTATCAAAGAAGAAAATCATACCCGACGTTGTTGGCGTGCGTTTGGCATGCCCATCAAATGAATGCACTGCATGCACCAGCTCGGTGCACAAAACATTTATTTATTTTTCATTTACTATTTTCTCTTATCTCTCTATTTTATTTATATTTTAAAAATTATGAAAAAACTAATTGATCGAACGAGCTAGATTGCCTTGCCAGAGTAACAGTTGAATTTGTACTTTGAAAGTTTGAACTCCACTTTCTTCTAAATAGTGTGTACTTTTATGACCTAACCACCCCAACTAACAAAATGGATGCATTATTTATAGTTTTTTCTTATTGAATTTATACATAAAATAAATGCGCTTTCTAATTCACTATCTGCATTTTATTCACTTGTAGTACAATCCACTTAGTTGGCCCAAACTATTAAATTTATAACTATATATATATATCTTTTTGTATTTTATTTTAATTCTTCCAAAAGGTTGAACCTCAACCCATAGGGTCACCCGACCCGACAGAGCATTTGGGAGGACGTAAATTATGATAATTCAACTGAACGTAAACTACAGAGGCTAGACTTTTGCTCACTGCGCACAAGAAACTTTATTTTTATAGGAGGAGAATTCGCAGTCAAAATATAAAAGTATGCACTAAATAAATATTATTTCTATGTAATAATCAACAAACCATATAAAAAAGGTATATGTGAGAGGAAAAATCACACTAGAAAAGAATTGTGCAACAGATTCAACCGAGATACTTCATTAATATATACCATGTAATGTGTTTAACGAGTTTTAAAAACAAAAAAAGAAGTTAAAGAAAATGACAGTATAAACTGGCTTGACACGACCTTATATGTATAATTTTGTTGGACCAATTTTTTTATGTAATATGAGTCAAACGAAGCACTAATAGACGTCAACATTTTACTTTTTTTCTTTTAATTTGGGTGGCCTCACAATTGGTGGTTATGAAGTATGAACAAAGTCAGCGGCGATCGGCGGCTGAGAGTTTTATGGTCCCGCCGGACCAACAAAACTGTCGGCTATTTAAGGATTTAAAGAAGGGGAAAATGGAAGGTCCGATTAAGGTACCATGTGAACTTATATACAACATATGAGGGCATGTGGAGTCATAAATTAACACTTAGAATATAAGATTAATGTAAATTAAGTCAATTTAATTTTGAGATTCAAATATCAAATTGTATATTTTTACCTACAATGAATCCACAAATCTAGAATGTGACTACTCATTCACTAGACCGAAGTCCCGGGAGTGAGTCTAAATGAAAATTTTTAATCACCATGTTTATTGTAACTCAAAATTAATTTATCAACTACTAGTAATGATATTTACTAGAGTTTTATATTTAATTGTATTAACATTAACATACTGTCACTTGATTGCTTTCATCAACCATTTATTAAACACTTTTTTGGGTGTAACTCAGGGTTTCTACCATATGACATATAATAATTAATTTCATCGCTGAATTATAAGCACTTCTAAAGATGAAACAGTTGGTCTGTAGATTATTATTCACTAAACATTAAGTTAGGCAGTTAGCTATAATTTTGCAAATACCAACCCCAAATTAAACACAAACATGCATGTGACATTAGGTAACAATTGATGGATGGTAACATGGAACATTAATGCAAAGAACTGTAATTGTAATGTCGATGTCCACGTTGGTGGTTAAGTGCGTCGCTGGAGCATGATTATCTATTAGAAGGTTATGAGTTCAATTTTATCGATCAACATTTTTTGGTCAAATTTATCACACAGAGTCTTCCTAGTGTAGTTAACATATATACCCTGTATGGTTTGCATGCTATTGCACAAGAATATAATTTATATCTCGTGTGGTTTGATGACTAGAAATACAAAATTGCGATATAATTAAAGACGAAAACAAGTAACTGTACGCAGTTACGTTTATAACTTATAGAGGAAAAATGTACTTTTTTTCACAGAAAAGTTGTGTAGGCAGTTAGTAGGTTGAAGCCCAGTTGGATCAACCAAATTGGAGGCTCATTTAAATGGGGTTTGTTTTTGTATAGATATGTCTTCGTCGTAGAGATAATGATGCAGACCTATCCTTTATTATTATTAGTGCGTTAATGGAGTTAGTAAAATTCAGCAGTTATACCATGAATCCGGGTTTAAAATACACAATTTACATACTGAATGTTCACAATTTGAATTGTGAACATTTAGTATTTAAATTATGAATATTCAGTACGTAAAAAATGTATTTTTGGATCCGGATCCACTAATAATGCAGCTAGTTCTTTTATTTATTATTAATTTTATTAGATTAGATATGAAGAGAGACACACTAGTCTCGCGTCACCACGTATCAAGGAGTAAGAACACCTATAACGTCTTCCTCCACTAATGTCATTAATCCCGGGGGTAGAACAACAATCTCCGTCCCTATTCTGATTGTAAGCGAGGTGAGCCAATTCCACTCAACAAAGCTTCACCAATGGGGTTATCAACTCCCTTAATCCAATTAATAACCAACTTAATTAGAATCACTTCTAACCTCGACTTTGTGATAACCTTGTCCCCAAGCTTCTAGTCCTTTAAGGATTGCTTGAAGTTCAGCCATAGCAGCGTGATTAATGTTTCTGTCTTTGCCCAGGAAGCCGCCGTGCCCACGGAGGATGTGAGCATATATCCATTAATGTGTAACCAACTATCAGCTTAAGCTTTTAGTTGAGATGGAGCACATATTTCAATTTGGTATCAGAGCCAGACTAAAGGTCATGGTTCGAATCTTAGCGCCACTCATAAGCGACTACGGTTTACCGTGGCCGCACACGTGAAAGAGCGTGTGAGCATATAACCATTAACGTGCAATCCAACTATCAGCTTAAGCTTTTAGTTGAGATGGAGTAGACCGGCAAGGCTCGAGCGACCC